TTCTGTGATTCTGTGAACTGCTCAATGTAGAAGCACGCTGTGCTGAGCCTTCGTGCTGCCTCCAGTAGCACATCAGCTTGGTAAAGCCTGTGTCAACGTAGTGATCCAGCAGCACTGCCAGAACTGCCACACACTTGGTGTACTGCGCTGGGAAACTTGTAGCTGTGGTGCTGGTAAGCTCATGTCCAAAAGCAGCAGTGCCTGTGTGCTAGGACGGGCTCTGTGAAGCTGCCCTAACAGCACTAGCTGTGTGTTTGCTGCCTGTGAACGTTTCTTTAACTGAGATGATAAAGCAGCACGGCTTGGCACAGCTTCAGCATGTAAGCAAAAATTGGGCATCTCAATATAGTATCAAATGAGCGAGAGGTTAATGGCACCCCAGAAGTGTAAATGTATCCCCCAGACGCTGATTAAAACAAGGATGAGCTTCTGAAAATTGGACCAGCTTAGAGTAGTCATGTAAGTCTACAGTCAAAGGCATTTCAGTATAAATGAAGTTGTTTGGGGTATTATAATCATGAGTAAGAACAATGCTCAGAATAGTCTTTACTGTTTGGGTATTTTATGATAACAAAAGCAGCCTGGAAAGAAGCAGTGCTGTATTCAACACAGCCAGGGAATACTTTCAATCCCCAGTGTTCATCTTAACTCTTTATGTTTTATGTCTCAGAAGAATTAAATATAATTATGCATTTCTGTAATGCTTTATTTACAGTTCCCTTGTTCTGCTTCTTTTCTCTGTTCCAATTTCTTTTTCAAATGGAAAAGATCCAGAGATGGAGAATCAGCAAGATTAAATGAGTGGAAAGAATGGCGTACAAGAACAGAATGTAACTGTTAATCTTGTTTAAGATAAGGTTAATAGGAACAAATTTACTTAAAATAGTATTCAAGTAGGGAACATACACGGAACACTCAGTAACTCTCTGCCAGTGACAGTGAATGTAAACTGAATGGCAATAAGTGATGCAGGGGGATACTTGCCTAGCTGAGCAAGGAAATCAGCTTTCAAAGAGGTAAGCAGCCCCCGAGTAATGGGGAGGTGTTGCTTATGTGTATTCTCATGGTTATGTGTATCATTTTTCAGTATAGCTGGCAGCCAGTAACTGATTAGATGCAGCCCCATAGGCTGGCTGCTGGCTCACTCTCATGGTGTGCATGAGAATAAATGGCTTGGATTTAGTCATTTTTTCATGACCTAAGTCTCAAGGCTCACACCATACTTATGGCTCCATATGTTTATGCTGTGTACAGAACCCCTCCTAGAATTCTCTTAGTAAAGAGATACAGAGATGAAGAATCCAACACACTGAGGTTCACATCAGTGTTCTTCTCATCAAGTCTCCATTTTACAAATATTTTCAACCTGCTGGTACCTTAATTCAGTATTAAATTGCATTTGGAAATGCTCTTCCTTGACATTTCCATGAAAGAGTTCCCATTTATCTGTGGCTTTTTGCCTCTGTCCAACAAGAGGAGCAGTTTCCAAGACCCGCTCACTTCAGTTTTCAATTTTCAATACAGCACCAAAGCGGTGGGAAACCACACAGCTGTTTCTGTTACGTGACCTGCTTTCATCTGTGTGGGCTTTGTTCTGGACTCCTGGAAGCTGACAAACTTCTTTAGGTTTGCAGCACCCCCAGCTTTGCCTGGATCTGCTGGAGCGAAGCACCCGGTGCTGCGACACCTCGAAATGAAATGAACGAGTGAAACACGGCACAGCCTGTGATCAAATCCCTGCGCCAGCAGCCATCAGAAGGAGGCGGCCATCCCGAAGGAGAGCTGCTGGGCCGGGGGATGCCTGAAGACCAGCAGAGCACGGAGCAGATCTCATCCAGCGCAGCCCTCAGACCTGCGAGTGAAGGCTGGGTGCCTGCGGGGCCGTCACCTCCTTCCGCCCGAGCCGCGTCCTTCCCTGCTGACGGGCAGAGCCCCGTAAAAGCTGCCCGCTGCCTCCCGCGTCCGTATTCCTTAAGGCCAAGCGCTCTGCCTGTTTCCAAAAGCACAGAAGCCATGCCGTCTTTCTGACACCGCCGGTCTGCGTTCGCCCTCCGTCTGTGCGCGCTGTTACAGCCGAGACCGCAGGCACTGCATCACACGCACCCGGCAGCAGTACGGGGTGTCAGACGGACGCGAGCCGCGGTCCCGCAGCGCGCTCCCGAAGGGGCGGTGCGCGCCGCCAGCCGCGGCCATCTCGTGGGGCGCCGCGCTGCGGGACCACAGCGCCCGGCATGCCCCGCGGCCGGCGGACCGGCGGGAGGACTACAGCTCCCGGCATGCCCCGCGGCGCGCGCGGCTCCAAGATGGCGGCGCCCAGGGACGGCTCGAGCACGGACAGCGGCTCGGATTCGGAGAGCAGCGGCGGGGCGGCAGCGCGGTTCCGGGAGGCGGCCTGGGACTGCGGGAAGCAGCAGGCGGCGGGGCGGGCGGAGCCGCGAGGCGGTGAGGGGCGAGGCGGTGGCCGGGCTGTGCCGTGCCCTGCTTGTGCCGGGCTCTGGCCGCAGCTCTTTCTCACGTTCTCCTTCCTTTGGCAGGCGGATTTCCAAAGGATCGGCGGCAGGCTGCTCGGCCCAGCCTAAGGTATCGCTCTGCGGGCCTCAGGGTTGTGTTTTGGTGAAGAAAAACTTGAGGTGTGCTACTTAATGCCTCGTGTTGCTTCGTACTGGAAAGCCTTTGTTACAATTGTAATCTGCAGTGATGCTTAATTCTAATAAATGGATGGAGTTATTGTGGAAGTATATTCCTCATCCCTCTAACAGTGAAGCCAAAACAATTGAAAATAAATGTCTGCTGGCAGTTTCAGCATGAGTTCGATTGTCAGAAATGCCCTAGTTGTGCCCTAATTCTTCCATGTCCCTTCCATGCAGAAATTAATATGACAAAACTTCTTATTGAAAGAATGGAGAGTTATATACAGAAGGGCAAATAATAACAATATGATTGCAAAGCCAATCATTTATTGGGTGGGAAAGCAGTGTCTGAATTAGGTACCTTATAACAAAGGCAGTACTGACCTGTGTAAACTTGCAGCATTTCTGCAGGCTCGGTTTCAAAAGCTGTCAGCCATGCAGCTCTGTGCCATCCTTTCTCCTGGGACAGATTTTGCATTAATTGTGGCAATGTACTCAAGAAGCTCCTACCAGAGAAGGGATGTCCTGCCACCATTTGTTTGCTTTTGCAGGCTATTTCAATGAGAAAACCATCCTATTACTTTCAGGGAGATGGCTGAATGATGTTTAACTCACTGTTAGGAACTGTTGAGCTCTCTGCTTTACTTAGCAGTTGTCCCTTATCAACTCAACATGAATTAGTTACTACAGGGTAGGAGATTTTACAGCCCCTTATCTCCTGTTTGAGTGAGAGTACTGGATGTTATTGCTCTTGAAGGAGATGATCATTATTTTATTTTAAACAGACGTGAGGTGAATGACCATGATGAGGATGGAAATGAGCTACAGACCACACCAGAGTTCAGAGCACACGTTGCAAAGAAACTGGGAGCAATGCTGGACAGGTATTGGCTTGTGATACTAAAAAGGCTTGTATGGGTAAAGTACTGTGATGCTTATGTGTGCTAAAAGCAAGGAATTAAAGACCCGAGTGCAACTTGAAGAAATTGTTTTCTTCTCAATTCCTTCATTTCTGCATTTAATACGAACTTCCAGTATTCTGTGAACTAACCTGGTTCACCTGCTGTGTCCCTCTGGTGATGACTTCCTGTGCAGCACTGCCAGTCTCCATTTACCTTGGTTGTAAATGCATTGTAGAGAAGAAAAAGAAGAGTTTGGGTACCATATCATCATTTAAAGACAAATATAAAAACCTTTCGCTCTTGCACCCTAAAGCTGTATGCAGTTCAGGGTTCTACTGGCAGTATGCATCTGTCTGGGCCTGCTGCTGTCTTTATTATGTGTGTGAATATCACCCTTGGAACTAGAATTCCTGGTGTTTAAAGTTGGCTTTTAGAACGAAGTCATTCTTGTGGCATATGTTGCTAAGGAGAGAAGACGTGGTCTGCTCTGAAAGCAGGGAATTGAAACTTCACTTAAAAAAATAAGACCATAACATCGCCCCAGTCTCGTTTCCTATACATTTCCAAATTTAGCTCAGATTGCACAAACCTACCTAACATCTAACCAGAGTTTTCTGTTTAGTTTCATCACTGTCTTGAAGGATTCATCAGGACCTTCATCAACTTGTGTGCGGCAGTCTGACTGTGGAGATAATGGTGAGTCCTAGTCATGTCGTGTCCAAGTCGTGGCCATTTGCTGATGCAATTAATCAAATAATAGCAAGTGAGATGGATCCTGTCCAGTGCCAGTTGTAGTTCTAGCTCTTTACTGGCTAAAGAGCACCAGCACAGGGTTTATCAGCATCAGCAAAGGCCGTTACTTTGTCGTGCCTGTTGTGCCCTAAATCTTTGCAGACTGACAGATGATTGTTGTCAAGTACAGCTATCTGTTAACAACAGCAGGCTTTCCTAGGGAGACTGTTGTTGATTGCTCTCACTTATTCTGTATTTTGGCTAAAATTCCTTTCTAAATACATATTTTAGGTTTTCGCCTCTTCTCCTCCTCTGTCCCAGGAGGCTGTGGGCAATCAGAGCAGAGCCCTGCCCCGAGGAGGAGACGGCCACCTAGTTCCAGGTGAGGTGTTGTCAGCTGCTTTGCTCCTGAGGTGCTATTTCAGCCCTTGTTTTCATGCTTCAGAGGCAGCAGAGACTCTCCCGTGGAATTAGAAAGTTGAAGAGCTTAAGTGGTATATTTCTATGACTGATATTTGAAAATGGCAATTTTCTTTCTTTTCTTTCTTTTCTTTCTACCTTTTTTTTTTTTTTTAAATACAAATAGGAGATGTAAACAATTTTAAATGCTGACTGTGTAAGCATTGGAGTCCTGGATCCACTGGCTGTTCATTGAGCGTTCTGATCTTAGATAATTCTGCTTTCAATGCTTTGGATGAATTCAAGGCAAACGTAACATAATTTCCTTCCCTTTTATTACCTTTCTAGTGACTCAGACAGTGACCAAGAGTGGCAAAAGTACCAGGAGGCTGCTGTGTCAGCAGCAGACGTTCTGAAGCAAAGTGCTTTTCCTGCACTGTCCCAGGATTCCAGCCAGAGTATGTGTCAGGGTTATGTGGAGCACAGACAGAAGAAAAAGAAGAAAAAGAAAATCAAGGGAGAGAACAAAACTGAAGAGAAAATAATAGACCCAGCAGAGTGTGACCAGGTCAGCAGAGATCTGCCACGGTTGGTTTCTGCAAATGGACAACACAAGAGACAGGACAGCAATCATGCAGATAACAACACAGTGTCACTGGGAGCTGTAAAGAAGAAGAAAAAGAAGAAAGAGAGAGAATAAATGCTTTGCTCTGCAAACGTGCAGGTGATTGTGATGAATGAAGGATGCTGGGAAAAAACTAATGGAGTTACTGCAGATGAGGGAGAACTAATTTGCAGAGCTTTTGTTCTAAAAGCTCTGTGGCCTGGGAGTCTAATTAAAGTGACTTCCTATGTTGTTGACCTCCCTTGGGGAGCATTTTTCTCCTAGCACAGCAGTTATCTGTGCTGCTGTTTGTGCAGTCCTAGCATGAAAGGATTAAACACTCTACACAGACCAGTGTGGTGGAGGGATGTAATCATAGCTGCATCCCTTCTGATCTGTTCTCTCACATGCTGAAACCAAATCTTGTCTCCTGGAGAAAGCATACGATTAATTGAACTTAGTTTACATGGCAACAGGTGGTCAACTTCTTTTTTGCTTCGATTTGCCTATGGGAAACTCATTTATTGAAAAGCATCTAGCAGGTGTTAGTCCCTGCCCCTTCCATTTTTTTGCCCCCTCTATGATTATCGTAACGATCTGCTGTTGAAACCTGCCGTGTTACTGATCCCTCTGTAGTCCACACCTCTCCAGGGCCCCTGCAAACAAAGATAATGCAGGGAGCTTATTTTGAGGTTGTTAAAAACAAGCAGTTCTGCTGTGTCCTTCTAAATTTCTCTTGGAATGTTTTCTGGGCTATTTTTTTTGTTATTAAATTCTTATTCACTATTAGTCTTATTTAATTTGGCAGGTTTGTGGGACAGCAGCTTTCTTGCTGTTAAACAGTTCCCCCAGTAGAGACAAAACAGGCTGAAGATGGCTTTTAGTTTGATTGCTGATCAATGCTGAGAAATCGTTACAGGAAATACTTAAATCTCACATGCTAAGTTTCAGACCTTCTTTTGGTTCACTATGACTTTTGTACTTTTTAGCATAGCTCTCAATCTGTTTGTTTCAGCTGCAGTATTCCTAGAAACAACCTGTTATTTGGATCAATACTCTGCTCCTGTTGAGTTTCGGTAGGTCTAATTCATTGGCTCTATTCAGGAGACCTAAAAGCTGGATTAGAGAAACCAAAGTAGTGCACTGATGCTCTTTGAACCAGATGTTTTCCTTCCTACTGTAAGATCCTTGCTGTTTGTCACTCAGGAGAACACACTTGGCATCCAAAAAAATGGAAAGACTAGAAAATTGGCTTGGAAATAATCTGGACGTGACCAAAATTATTTGTTTTATGGCCAGTTAAAACTTCAGTATACTGAAGCTAGCACCTAGAATGTCAAATGCATAACATTTTTTGCCTTGTTTTATACGGTTTTTTGTTTCTGCTTTTTCTGAATGGAAGTTAAAATTGATTTGCAAGTAATGCACCTGGGAGATTAAGAAATCATCCTTGGATAAAATTCCTCAGAGAACCTAGTTACCAGAATTAATTTCTGGTGCTTGGTGGTATCTAGAAGAAGCTCTTACAGGCACAAACTGTTACGTGTTATCTGCAATACTGAAATTTCCAGGTATGATAACTAAAGAGTTCACTGTTTTTTAATATTCCATGTATCTTAATTTGTTAAGAGGCTTGAGCATGTTCTATTGTCCTGCTCACAGTAGAAAGAACAGCTCTATCACAATGGCAAAAACATATTAATTGGGGTTTTTCGTATGGCCTATCAGTGATATAAAGATTCAGAGTAAATAAAAAAGAGGGGAATAATTAGAAGAGGAATTATGTAAGTAGAAAGTTTTCATTTAGTGCAAATAAGGCTTTTAGACTCTAGGGGAGTTATTTTCATATCAGGAACTACAGAATCTATCCTACAAGGAAGGCAGGAGTGAACAGTGTTCTATAAAATCCATCCAAATTGACATTGTCATAGAGAGCTGAGGGAACTACTGCTGTCTGTGGAGCCCTGCTGGATGTTGTGCAGTGTCAGGGACCTGTGGAGAATGCCACCCCCGGGTCACTCAGCAGAATGTGTGAGATATGAGGATCCACGTGGTTAATGCAGAGAGCTGAAGTCTCCTTGCTGCTGTTAAACTTTAATTTCTGCATTTAAAACAAAGCAGAGCTATAT